CAGGAGCCTGTAGGGGGGTTCTGCGGCGCAGGCAGGGGCAAGGAGGAACCCGCATCCCGAGGTGAGGGCCCCCCGACCTGGGGCCGGGAGGAGGGTTGGGTAGCCTCGGACAAGGAACCCTCCCGGGATCTGGGGACTCAAACCCAGGACCACGGGCTGGGGAAGCTCGGAGTCACTCCAGGAATGGCATGCCCTCCTGGGCCCTGTAGGTCCCGTCTCCACCCACCCAGCTCCATCAGGCCCCCTTCCTGTCACCAAACCTGGGGACCGGCAGCCTCGAAGCCCTTGCCCTCAAAGAGCAGCTGGAGGCTGTTGCGCCAGCCGCTCCTGAATTTTTCACGGAGGGGGCGGGCCGGACACGCCGTTACCATGGCAGCAGGGTGCTCGGGTTTCAGTCGAAGGGAACCCCCAGACCCCCTCGCCTTTCTGAGTAGCAAGCTGCCCTTCCTGCCTCTTCCTTGGACCTCTTGGGATCGGGCAGCGGAAATGAATCCCCCCAGGGGCCCTCAACTCTCCTCTGTACCCCTCAACCTCGAACCGAACTGTGGGGAAGAGAACTGTGGGGTAGAGGAGGACGCGGCAATTCACGTGTCTTTCACAAACGTGGGTCTCATGTTCTGAATGTGAGGAGCAGCTCTGTGTGCACGCCTGTGTGTACAGTCCCACCTCGCTGCCGCCCCTCTGCCCGTCTGTGTGTCATGGGTCATCCTCAACGCATAGAAAATGGGCTCTGGGTGTGCATGCATATGTGCGCTCATGAGCACACATCCCTCCCAGCCTGACCCACGTTTACTCTGGGCCGGACGCCAGAAAGCCCCCAACCAATGGATCTGAGGCGCCTCCTCCTCCCATTTGAACAAAAGGGGGGGTTGGGAGGAAGCTGTCTCAACAGTTAATCGAGACCCTACAGAAGAGGTTCACAGCACCTGGCTTACCACCCACTCCCCCTTCTTGCCCAAGGAACAAAGGAAAGAAGGAAGCTCCCCTTCCCAAGGATGACACTAAACACTCAGCAGCAAGCAAAGACCCCCCTATGTCGGCGAGCCAGCACTCCACTGCCCCTGTCTCCCTGGGGCCACCAGCCTGGCCTCCTGGGCACAGCACCTTCTTCACAATCCCAGCATCCCCGACTGGGCCAGTCAGCCTCCCTCAACCCTCCCACCCGGCAACCTTCACCTGCCCCCAATGGTTGGTCCTCTGAATCCAGCGACTCTGAAGGTTCCTGGGAAGCCCTCTACCGCGTGGTACTGCTTGGAGATCCTGGCGTAGGGAAGACCAGCCTGGCAAACCTCTTTGCAGGAAAGCAAGAGCGGGACCTCCATGAACAGCTGGGAGGTAGGGACCCTGTGGGCTGGGCTGGGATGTGGTCAAAGGAATGGAATTCCTATCATCTGGGGCACAAGACTGCCAAGAACAGTTGTAAAACTCATGCGCTGCTCAACTCTAAGGGATATCATTCAGGTAGATGATGAAGTGAATGGTGCCCCCTAGAGTTGTGCAGGGCACAGCCTGCCAAAGGATCTACAGGAGGGAAATTCCTTGAGTAAGTGAGAATTGGGCCAATTTCTCATGGAGGAGAAGTGTGTGATTCATTTCCATGTTATAAGGGAAGCAGTTCTGGGTGCCATGAGTCTCAGGTGTAAAGAAATGGTGGGCTTCCACCCAGCTCTCAGACCCTCCCAGCCCCACGGACAACCATCCATGCCCACCACGACCTGCAGCCAAACTAAGATCCTAACCAAAATGGAGACTCCCAGACTCTAAGTTCTGGGCTCTGGGTTCCTTATTCCCAAGAGATGCAGCGAGCTGAGAGGGTTGGGGGCTCCAGGATGATGGGGAACAGGGACAGACAGGACAGAGGAAATGAAGAGGGTCCCTGCAGGACTGGCTGAGAGGACCCAGGGGGAGTGGTGGGGGGAGGGGTGGTTAAAGGCAGAGGGAAGGTGGGGACACTCTGACCAAGCCCCTTCTCCAGCCTTGACCTTAGAGTGAGAGGCCATATGAACACATGTACACCTGTGTGTATGACAGAGGGGGAGATTGCAGTCCAGAGGGTAACATGACCTTCCTGAAGCATGCACCAGGGACAGACCAGCACTGGAAGAATCCCCAGCCCAACTTCCACCGCACCACTCCACCCTCATTCAATCAGCCAAACCAACAAAAGCTTTCTCAGTACCTACCATGTGCGCCCAATACTGTGATGGCAGCTGGGGAGACAGGGGCTCCTCATGACGTTTCTTGACCTACCAGGAGAGACAGACATCAAATAAGTGTGGTGAGCACTTGAAAGAGAAGTGGAGGGGGCGATATGACTGGAAAAGGGAGCTAGGGAGACCTCTACCCTCCCCCAGCCTGCATCTCCTGGCTTTTTTCTCTGTTGCAGAAGATGTGTACGAGAGGACCCTCACGGTGGATGGAGAAGACACCACGCTTCTGGTCATGGACACTTGGGAGGCTGAGAAACTGGTATGGCCCAGCAAGCAGGATTTGGGGGGAGGGGTGCTGAATCTAGTACCAGATTCCTGTTCCCTCCTAGAACATAACAGAGCAGGGACAGGGCAGGGCCCATCCTTAGCACCCCTGAAAACCTACAGCTCCATCCGCTCCTTACAGCCATCCCAGGATGTGCTTCTCCCCCTGCAAACCTCCCTCTCTTATAAGCATCGTCAGCCCACTCCCCCACCCACATTGTGCAGAGGAAGGAACACTGGGTTTAGCCTGAGGTTGAACCCCCAGCCCCCTTCTTTGTCTTACCAAATGGCTTTGTGTAATTGACTTCCCACTCTGAGCTTCAGTTTTCTCACCTGATTAATGGGTCAATCATTCCTGCCTTCCTTACCAGCTGGTTTTTTCAAATTCTTACACAATTTCACAGAGGTAAATGCAGCTTAGAGCATGAAAAAAATGCTGACCATGAGTGAAGAATTGTAAATAATGATAATTCTTTTGAATCATATCTTGGTAGCTAGTTAAAAAAAAGGAAATCAAAGGATGTCCTTCCCTAGTCCACTCCAAAGCAGGAAGAGAGCTACGGGCAGGGACATGTCCCCATTATGGCTATCTTATCTTGTTGGAGTTGTCTTTTTTCTTGCTATGCAGGTGATATATTATCATTATAGAACTTTGAAGACATACAACTAAGAAAAGAGAAGGATCTAAAAATCGCCTGGGACCTCATCTCCCTAAGGGTTAGGCCCTTCCCCTAACATTCAGGGAGGCCCTGCCCACAGCATGGAGCTTAGGAGGGCAGTGTTGGGTGATTGACAAGAATGGCTGACAGCTCCAGTGATAGGACCAAAGGCTAGGGAGGAAGGAGCTATGGGACCAATTCCTTTGAATCGGCATAACAGGAAACTCAGGTCCAAAGGAGCATCATAATAATGATGATGATTCTTCTAAAAGCAGCTGACATATATGGAGCACCTTCTTCCTAAGTGTCAGCCCCTGTGCTAAGCACTAGACATATGACATGCAGTCAAGACAAAAACTATACAGCGAATGTACTTCTGATTCTCATTCTACTGAGGAAATCAAAGCTCGGAGGTTGAGTAATGTGTCCAAACTCCTCAGCTAGCAAGTGGGATTCAACCCCAGATCTTTAAGACCGCAAAGCTTATACTCTTATGCATGAGGACTGCCCCCTCCACCCACACTGGGAGCATCACCTTCTGAACCTCCAGCTGAGGTTCCAACTCCTTTACTCATTTGTTTTTTAAGAAATATATCATGGATCAGGACACTGGGGACCCAGCAGTGAATAGGCAGTCATGCCCTCTGGCCTCATGGAGCTCACAGGCTGGTGAGGGAGGGTCTGCTTTTTGGATGTAGCTGAGAATCCTAGGGGGCAGAGTCCAGTGAATTAAGAAGAGTGATCTGACTGGGAGTCCCATTTAGGGGATGGGGAGGAAGAAGATGGAACATGAAAGCAGGAATTGGAACTCTGTGCCCAGCTGCTGTGTGGCCTTGAGAAAGTTTTCTCTTCTCTGGCCCTTGGTTTCCCTACAGTTTCCCTGGCCTGTGTCTGTGAAGGCAGTTGCCAAAGAGGGTCCACACAGTAGCAGCCTTACTGGAATAAGCATCCATTCTTTCCATCCTTGGGCTGGATGGTATTTTTTGACGTCAGAGAGGCAAAATCTGACAGAACTGGGAGGACCGTTGGTGCATCCAGGAGTATCCTAGCATGACTGACCATCAGGGTCACCTGGAGAGGATTAAAAAATCAAATTCTCAGGCCTCAGCCCAGGCCTAATGAACTAGAACCTATGAAAGTGGGGTTCTGGAACCCATTTTTTAATCACTCCCAAGGGGTTCTTACCCACCAATCTATGTACCAACCGGCTTTTGTGATCCTAACACATAGCAAATCCTCCATAAATATCTGTGCAATGAATGAAGGAATGGTCAAGACCCACCCTCTCATCCCACAGATGAGAAAACTGAGACTTAGAGGGAGGAAGGAACCTGTCCATAGTCAAGGCTGAGAACCCAGAATGAGAACCCTCATCTGTCTGACTCAGTTCAGGATTATGTGGGCTGGAGAAGGAGCAGTGTGGCTGTTGAGAACTAACTCCCTTTGACAGTGATGACCATGGATCTGATGCTTCCCTACTTATCTTTCTTATTTGGCCATCCGAAAACTTTCTGGACTTCTTTTCCCCGCACAAACAATGCTTCCACCACACTTGGCATTTCCCACTCCTGGCCCACTCTCTTCCCTCCTGCTCAGCCTACTCATCCTATCGACTCCATTCACCAGTCCACTGTGAAGCCCTCCCACACTCTGGCTAGTTGAGTTCTTCTGGCCTGCCCCCACCCGAACCCCCATGGCTCCTCCAGGCACCTGCATATGCCCCTGCTCTTTTTTCTTTTTGCAATTAAGAAACGTTTTACTCTTTTGGAGAATGCTTAATGTCCTGAGACACTAAATCTGTTGGCTCTTTTTTATTTTAATTGAAGTACAGCCAATTACAATGTGTCAATTGCTGGTGTACGGCACAATGTCCCAGTCCTGCATATACATACATGCAGATGCCCCTCTTAATGGTATTATCACACTGCATTATAACTCTCCATTTTTATAGCATCTCTTCTCAACTATGAGCTTTTGGAGGGCAGAAACTGTCTCATTAAGCCCTTAGAAAGTTGTTACCCAGATGGTTCAGTTTCAGAGTGCTGCCCGGGACAAAAGACCATCATCCAAAACAATATCAAAATTACTCCAGTTCTTTCCTTTCCTTGTCAAACATCTTGAAGGGACTCCACTTCTTAAAATGCCTCTTGCCTCTCCCACCCCCTTCCCTTACACCCCATAGTTGCTCCTTCAACTCTGTCTTCAAGACTATCCAGGAAAATGCCCCCCTGGAAGTCTGCCTCCTGTCCCCACTTCTCTCCCTTCCTTTTTTCCCTGAATTCTGGGCTGCAAAAGGCCAAAAGAACTGTCTAGCAACTCCAAACCCTCCTTAAACCAGACAAAGAGCTCAACCAGCAAAGCCAGAACCCTCCTTAGCAGGACCAGGAACCAAATGAATTTTTTGTCCCCAGTGTCCATCTGACCTGAGTGAGAGAATGGACTGAGGTACTGCCACTAGCCCAATTCTTCAAGCAGAGAAATTAAGGCTCAGAAAGGACTGGTGCTTTCCCAAGGTGGCTCAGAGAATTATGGCAGAATTTGCCCCACAAACCTGTCTGAAGTATAAACCTCAGCCCCATCCCACCCGTTAGACCATCACAGCCCCACCTTGCTCAGCCAGGCCCTAGGTACCCTCTGAAGATGGACCTGGGCTCTCTCCCCTCCAGGATGAAAGCTGGAGCCAGGAGTCGTGCCTGCAGGTGGGCAGCGCCTACGTCATCGTGTACTCCATCGCGGACAGGGGCAGCTTCGAGAGTGCCTCTGAGCTCCGCATTCAGCTGCGGCGCACACATCAGGCAGACCACGTGCCCATCATCCTGGTGGGCAACAAGGCAGACCTGGCCCGCTGCCGGGAAGTCTCTGTAGAAGGTGAGCCCTCATCCTCCATCATTCTCCGAGCCCCACTGTCACTGCTTCTCTTCATCTCAGGGACTGCCGTGCCCCACCACCGCCCTGGCTGTCTCCATCCTGCAACTATGTGCCTAAGCCTGAAAGCTAGAAACCATGCTTGCCTCGTCTCTCACTCCCAAACCGTCCCCAAATCCTGTCAGATTCACCTCCCTTAACCTCACATTCCCTCCTCCGTCCTGCCCATGCCCACAGTCTCTGCCCCATCCTGGCACCTCCACTTTAGCCTTGGCCAGCCACCATACTTCTCTACCCCGACTCAACCAGTTCTCCTCATCAGCTGCCAGAGTTTCTAGAACCAGAGCTGACCTTGTCACTTCTTTGCTTAAAAATGTCCCTATGGCTCCCCAATGCCCTTAGTCAGAGACACCAGCCATGATAGGCCCAGTGCCTACCAGCTTTTCAAGGGCTTACATCTGAGACCTGAAAAAGACAATTATTGGCTCCCAAATACAGTGAGGAAATTATAAATTCAAATTTCACAGAGCTTTAATGGTCTACAAAACATAATAATGTGACAGTCAGCAACTGAAAACCAAAATGTTTAAAGTTATATATATACAAACTGTATTTAAAGTGGGATGGGGAATATTTTCATATGTTTGATGTATCAGGTGGGACCCATAAAGATTTTAAAATGGCCCTACTCACAGGGCAAAATCTAAAAAATATGGAAACTGAGACCCAAAGCAGAGAAGCCAGTTCCAAAGGGTCACCAGCCACCGAGGACTAGAACCCAGGCCCTTGCCTCCACTTCAGTGGCATCCTGGAGATGAAAAACCATATGATTTATTAGCAGACATCCCAAAAATCCACAACACGATCCCCAGGAGATTTTGTTAAATTACAAGTTCCTGGGCCTCACCCCAAGCCTACCAAATCAGAATCTCCATGGGTGAGCTCAAGAATCTTCATTTTAACAAGTTCCCCCAGATAATTCTGATACACAGAGTAGACCCTTTAGCTGGCATTCAAGACCCTCCCCTAGCTGATCTCAGCCTCCCTGACTTCCCAACCTCATTCTGCTACCAGTATCAATCACTAGCTTGTGAACTAACTCCTCAAAGCCAGGTCAGATTTATCTCTGAGTCCCCTGGCACGCAGCACAAGGTATAGGGAAAGAAAAATTGTACTTCTGGTTGAGATTGAATACACCTCTTGCTACCTTTATGTCCTTTCTTCCGGTTGTGGCTCCGCCCCGCTTGGCTGACCCCGCCCCCTCAGAGGGACGCGCCTGCGCTGTGGTGTTCGACTGCAAGTTCATCGAGACGTCCGCCACCCTGCAGCACAACGTGGCCGAGCTCTTCGAAGGCGTGGTGCGCCAACTGCGCTTGCGCCGCCGGGACTGCGCAGCCCGGGAGCCGCCCGCGCCGCGACGGCGGGCGAGCCTCGGTCAGCGCGCTCGGCGCTTCCTGGCACGCCTGACGGCACGCAGCGCTCGCCGCCGGGCGCTCAAGGCCCGCTCCAAGTCCTGCCACAACCTAGCCGTTCTCTGAAGCCGCCAGCCCTCCCAAGGGTGATGGGACACTGGGATGCATTCTGAGCTGTACCAACGCCACCGAGGGGCAGCGTCGCAGTGGCTCGGAGTCCTCATTGTGGGCCTTGCCGGCTCGCTGCCCCAACGGATGGAGAATCTCCCCGAGCCTCAACTTCAGGGACCCCTCTGCCCTCGGGAAACAATGGACAGACTGTGGGACCAAAGCCCAAATTGGGCACAGAATAGAGTTTTTATGCGGTGCGTGTCTTTTTGTAAAAAAAAAAAAACAAAAAAAAAAAAAACTTTTCTTGTCCTTGAGCTCTGGCCAACCCTCAGAACCAACCCCCCAATAAACCAGACCAGAAGGATATCCTGTCTGAGTACCGGACCCCTTCTTTTGGGCTCTTCCAGGCGATTACAGCTTCTGCTCTCCCATCTACAAGGACTGCAGGATGGGTTAATACACTGACCTGGGTGTCAGGGTCAAATAAATAAAATCACTGGGCCAATTGTGTTGAGGCCCTTTTCCCAACTACTGGGCACAGCTCCTGCTCCTGCATCTTTAGGGGAGACCCAGTGGAGCACAAACAATCACAGTCAGTGTGTTGACCTCCCATTTTCTCAATCCATTTTGTAGATTGTAGATTCATCAAAATTTCTCTGAAAGGAATCTCAGCACTCATTCTGGCAACATAATAGCTGGTGTTTGCCGGGAGCTGACGGGGTGCTAAACTGTCACAACTATTAATTAATCTTCACTACCCAAGTTTTACTAACTAGAAAACTGAACAGTGAGGCTTATGCTCCAGATCATACAGGTACTGTAAGTGAAGTTGCCAGGATCCCAACCCAGGCTTGTGAGACTAGAGCCTGTGCCCAACTTACCCAGCGTTCGCTTGGAGAACGTGATGAAAAACTATAGACTCCCAAGGAAAAGGGCTTTCAGACACAATTCTGTGTACAGTTTAAAAGGGATGGGGGTTGGACTCCATGAAACTCAACCCATTAATCCCAGGATGGACCCCAAATTTAACTCCACTCATTCATTTTTTCGGCTTTTGAACTGAAGCCCAGAGAGGGAAGTGAGTGCCCCAGAGTCATCCAGCTAGTGAGGGTAAGGACTGGACCTCAGGGCTCAGCCTCCTCCTCCGCTGTCTGTGTGGGAAGTAGGAGGTAGTGAGACATCCCGCCTGGCTGGGGATGGGCCTTGGGGGTCAGGTCAGGAGTTTCCAGCCTAAGGGGAAATGGTGTCACTCCTCTGAGAGGAGAACAAGATGCAAACGTTTTGGACCGTTATGTCCCTGATGCCTGACACCCCTGCCCCCAACCAGCTGCCGGCCCAGTTGCCTCAGCCCCCGACGTGGGCCATGACCCAGCTGCCGAGAAACACCAAAGTGCAGGCAGGGGAGCCACCGTGTCCTCCAGCTGTGACCCCCTAGTCTTGCCAGCGGGGCACTGATGGCACTTATTTTCCCATCCTAACTCCAGCCTGGGGGGAGGGAAAAGGAGGAAGGTCTTCCCCCACCCCAAGCTGTCTCCAGTTTGCAGTCGCGGGGAGGGGCTACAGTTGTGGAAAGTTGGCAGAGGCAGCCAGCAGCAGCCGGGAGAGTGGAAAAAATGATATCAAACCCGGAAAAATGCAGACCGGATGGAGGGCCTGAGCCGGCCCTGGGAGGTGAGAGGGAGCAGGGGAGGGAGGAGGCCCCACTGGCTGAAAAGAGAAGAGGGGCCAGAGAGAGAGCGCAGGCACTGGTTTGGAAAAGCCTGAGGACAATCGCCATGATTCCTCAATAAATATCTGTGGATGAAGGGTTCTTCATCCACAGATATTTATTGAGGGCCTACTAAGTGCAGGTCACAGTGCCAGGTTCCCGGGAGGTAGTGGTGGACATAAGTAGGATTTTGCTCCCTGGAGCTCACAGTTTAGTAGGGAAGACAGGCTAGAAAACAAGAACATGAATAAAATAGTTACAAACTGATAAGGAGCTAATCAGGGCATCATGGAAAGCCCAGACAGTAATCCAATCCTCTTAGTTCACAGATGGGGAAACTGAGGGCGGGAAGGGGAGAGGGCTTACCTGAGGCTACTCAGAGCATGGAAGAAATTGTTGAGACCAGAATTTGGGGGGTACAAGGGGAGGGAAGAAAGAAAGAAATAGTACAGACTGGTTGGGGGTGGGGGGTAAGCATGCAGCCAACAGAGCAAGAGAGCACGGTGGTGGCCCTAAAGCAGGGAGTCCGTGTTCAACCCTTGCTCCCCACCTTTCTGCGCCTTAGTTTCCCCATCTATAAAATGAGATTCATGACAATTCCCTCCCTCGGGACTGATGTGAGGATTAAATGACTTAAGCTGTGTGAAGTACTTTTAACAGTTCCTGTGTCGGGGAAGATTCAGTAAACGTTGGTTCCTGCTGTCATATCTTCCGACCTTAGGGAAACCAGGGTTTATTTTGAGACTGTGAAAACTTGCTCGGGAGTCTTTGCCCTGCTCTGACACTGGAGGACTTCGGGAAAAAAATCTCTTCCCTTCTCAGGCCTCAGTTTCCTCATCTGTAAAATAAAGGGATTGAATCTGAACTTGTAGCATATATTCATGTACTCCCACATCTGCTGTCTGCCTCCCCCACAGAAATGCCCACAAGGGCAGGACCCTCGATGCTGGACTCTTTCCTTAACACCTGCATCACGACCTGGCTCACGTTAGGTGATCAGTAAATATTTGTGGAATGGCTTAATTAACGGATATGTAAAATGGCCTTTCCAAATCCTGACCTCTCTGATTCTAGGCGTCTGCGAACAAGGCATGGCTGGGAAAGCATGTGAGAAAACCACAATACTCCTCCCAGGGACGTGGCCTATTATAGTTTAGAAAGTTCTTTCTCATCCACAAAAACAAACCAAAAAAAAAAAAAAGCTAACTCTGTTTTAGCTCTTTCTGTGTGGTAGGCGCTATGCTCCATGCTTGGTACGTGTTTTCTCCCTTCATCATCACCACAACCATCTGCTTAATAGGTACCATTTAGCAGATAACAGATGAGCACATTGAGGCTAAGAGAACCCCAGAAATTTGTCCAAGGCCGCACAGCAAGAAAGGGGAGTCAGTAGTCACACTCAGATCAGCTGTCAAGAGGCAGGTAGGAACTGTCATCTTCATCTCACAGTTGGGGAAACTGAGGCCCAGAAAAAAGAGATGAATCAGCCAAAGTTATGTAATCATAACAGCAAGCAGTTCCATCACTCTTACCATGTATCAGGTGCTGTGCTAAGTGCTTTTCATATCTTAAATCCTCAAAACCGGTCATATTATCACTATGCCAGTTTTCAGATGGAGAAACTATAGCACAGAGAGGTTCAATACCTTGCCAAGTTTGCACAGATAGCAAGTAGCAGCACCAAGATTTAAACCAAGGAAGTCTCGGCCCATGGTGTGAAGGGTTCATCTATATCACACTGTCCACTGGTTCAGCAAGTCCAGCGCAGAGTAGTGTCAGCCCAGTCCCCTACTGCCTGGGCTGAGGGCAGGGCAGAGAACAAAAGCACATTGAGAGTATCCTCAGCCGCCAGATGGGTCTTTCCCCCTTGAAGGGAAACTGTTATGGAAAAAGTGATAAAGCTCTGGAAAGATGAATGTCTCCCCAAGGGCCTCAAGTCTCCTTGGAGTCCCCACCCCTGCCCTTTTGCTATGGGGGAGAGCCACAAACTGTGCCGGCCTAATCCGGATGAGATGAAGGCCACCTGGTTCCCAATACACCCCAGCCTGGTTGCTCAAATACTGAGGATCACTGGCCTTGATGGAAAGTTCCAGTTTCTCAGCCAGGGGCATGAAGCTTCCACTCCGGGACCCTCAAGGAATCAGGTTCAGGCTAGAAGTCCCTTGTCCTTGGATGGTGGGAAATTGACATCTCACAGGCACAGCTCAACCATTCAGCAAACTTTGACAAGGGTGTGTGCTCTGAAGGAAGGTAAGGAGGGTAGAGAGGGTCACAGCTGGCTGCTTTATTTAAAAAAAAAAAGGATTAAGAATCTCTTAGCTCTGCCATGACGGAGTGAACTTAGGCAAATCAAAATATACAGAGTGAAGGGGTTAATGTGGAATTCTTTATGCGACTGTCTCAAGAATATTTGAATATTCTAATTCAACAGCTTGAAGAAATCTGCAAGTTCAGTTTCAATTTCAGAAGTGTTTTCTTCTGTTCAGTTCAGGGCTTAGTTAAAAATAATACTAATGGTGGGATAGGAGCTCTGAGTTCAGCAGGGTGTGCCATTTTCCCCAGTTCCATCTGGTTCAAGTTCAAGGCTAAGATAGATCACTATTCCAATTACTATGCTGCATCGCAAAACACCCCAAAGCTTAGTGGCATAAAAACAATCATTTTATTATACTCAGAGATTTTGTGAGTCAGGAACTTGGGCCGGGCAAAGTGGGCACAGCTCTCCTCTGGGACCTCAGCTGGGAAACGCACAAAGACTGGAGTGACTGGAATCACCTCACATGTCTGGAGTTGGAATCATTCACAGGTCTGGAGGTGGATACTGGCAGTAAAGTGGAGTCTCAGCTACTTCTCCAGGTGGCCTGTTGCTTCTGTTTCCTTTTGTTGCTGTAACAAATTACCACAAACTTTAATGGCTTAAAACAGCACAAATGTCTTAGCTTACAGTTCTGCTGAATAGAAGTCCAACTTGGATCTCACTGGACTAAAACCAAGGTGTCAGCAGGGCTGCATTCCTTTCTGGAGAATGGAAGAAGAAGAGAAGATCAGTTCCTTGCCTTTCTCAGCTGCTAGAGGCCAATCGCTCTTCTTGGCTCGCAACCCCTTCTTCCATCTTCAAAGCCAACAACATTAGGCCAAGTCCAGCTCACGCTTGCATCTCTTTGGTTCTCTCTCTTCTGCCTCCCTCTTCCATCTTTGTGATTACATTGAGCCCACCCAGACAATCCAGAATACCCTTCCTGTTTTAAAGTCAGCAGGTTAGCAACCTTAAATTCCATCTGCAACCTGAAATCCCCTTTGCCACATAACATAACATATTCACAGGTTCCAGAGAATAGGACATGGACATTTTGGGGGGCTATTAGTCTGCCTACCATCGCAGGATAAAGTAGAGGCTGTAGGAAGGCTGTGGCTGGGTCTCCAATCTCCTCCAACACACAAACTCAGTCTTATTGTAATGAATACATAGAGAAGACCCTAAAGTAAAAAGGGTTCCTTCCCAGTGGGATGCTGGGGGCGCTGGAACACTGTCCCCAGAGTGTGACCTTTCCTGTCTTCCTCTAGCCCATGCTGGAGCACTTCTTCAAACCTAACACTGGGCAAATCTCCACCCACCTTTCAGAAAACCCTTCTCCTTACTGACAGAGGTAGGTCTTGC